ACAACAACAACAACAACAAAAACAGATCATTATAAGCTGTTAGCGGGAAATAGATTGGATGAAAGCAAGCTCAATGTACGATTGCTTTGTTGCAAGCTGATTGGATAGGAATTTGCCAGTCAGCGCTAGTCGAACTTGGAGAACATGTAAAAACTATAAATATACTAACATATCTCTTATTGCGCTTCTTACTTCCGTCTAACCTTGTTATTTTGAATATAATCTCTTTCCTGTTTAACCGTGTTCTGATTTGGGGACTTGTCGAGAATACTGAGCAATAGAAATAGCTGGATTCTAATAAGAAAGAATTATAACATAATCAGACATAGATGATGAGAAGTAGTGGAATCCAGGACACGTCCCATTTGGGACTCATCAGTTGGATGTACCTGCATTTCATATATGATGTCCACTCTTGGACTTGAACTGAGAATCGTCCGCCTCAAACGCCATTAAGTTATCCACTCAGATACTGAACCCAGATAGTTACTAGCTTGTTCAGTGGAGTGAAGTATTAATTCATTTCTGCATTGGTTGTTTGAGAAACTGATCAATGGCAGTTCTAAATATCAATGGAAAGATTCAAACAACCAATACAAAAATGAATATAGACAGATCACTTTCCAGAGAAATCATTTACAATGTCATAATAATAGTCTGTAATGTAGTCTGATAGCAGTGATCTTAACTTCTTAAATATAACAACAGAAGGATTAAGATAAAGAGAACATACAAACGTCTTATAGAATATTTAAAAATAGTAGAATATCTGAGCGAACAGTTATCTGGGGATCATTTCTTTTTCAAATCCTCAGGTATTCTTGTTTCATTTCCTCACCGTTTTTTCTCTTTCAAGCTCTGATCACCACACAGAGGGCAGGTAGCAAACCGTCAGCTATAGTTGTGTAAGAAATTAAATGCCACAAAGTTAGATAACAAGTAGGTAAATGAAGAGACATTCATGAACTATCGTTGATTGCTGACGGAGTTAGTCGTCATCTATTGGAAGTCAAACACTGAGCGAGTTGGTAATTCTCCCTTGGGTTGTGGAAACAGAACGTAGGTGTTCTTAATAGATAAGTTAATTGAACCGACGTTCCTACGGAAGTCAATTCTATAGGGAAGCTAATGTAACAGCTTAGGTTGATTGGTTAAGAGTTGACATCAAGCAATTAAGTATATGTCAAAACACTAGAGTTTAAGTGTTCATTCACTTCCTAAACATAAATCATGATTAAGAACTCAATAATTAGTCAAGAATTCCTTGTCAAATCTTTGATTAATTTTTGAAGTAACAGATTTTAAGTAAAGTTTGAACTATGAAACATGTTTTTCGTTCTTTTCATGATATTTTGGTAGTATGTAACTTAGATTCTATGCAAAAATGGGATATAATTCATTTGGTTTCCATGGTAAGTAGAATTACTTTTAAATCATGATATTTATATCCAATCGTCTAGATTTTTAACTTCTGGCACTTAAAATAAAAAGTGTTGTCTTTATTACAAGTCCTTTACCGTTGGAAATCATGGGGAGGGGGCAGGACAAAACACCTAGCCTCTATTGCATGGTTTCCAACAGTTGTTTTGAGAATAATATTAGTTTATCATGAAAATGTCGTTTAATTAAACTATCATCAGGTAATTTATAATAAGTTCAATATCAAGTTTAAACGATTCTGAACGTACTCATTAGAAAGCAACACAAAAATTATATAAAAATCTTTTCAAAATCAGTTAATTAATATAGTAGCAATAAACAGTGTATTGCATCAATGACAATACCTGCTTCGGTTTAGGCACCCGGGCAGTATCCCAACCCTCACATAAATCAGATGATTTATGTGGCGCATATCTATTCGGTGCCTCCTTATGCCAATGTAAAATATCCATATAAGTAGTATATAATGATAGTCAGGAACAGAATGTGTGATGTGCTACTTGTATTGACATAAGTAATAGATGATGTTAATCGTGAACAGAATGTCTAGCAGCAGAGAGACAAGATGATCGAACAGTAAAGAATGGAAACAGAATGCGATTTGTATGAAAATGCAAGAACAATGAAGTCTGAGTCATTATGAGACAATTGATGGACATTTTGCATATTACGTATTTACTATTTGATTGTTAGATTTTATTAACCAGTCCTGTAATTGTGTTTTAAATACATTCGATTGTCCCCACCCGTGTTCTTATTCACTACAAATTTACTTCAGTAGAAGATCGAGAAGGAAAGAACGGGAACGAAAAGTAATTGGTATAAAAATGCAGGAACAATAAAACCTGAAACGATGTATTAATATTTGCAAAAGAAACAGTCAAGTTTAAGACAATGGATTGAGATTTTGCAAATAAAGTATTTACTGTATTGTTCTCAGGTTTCAATAAGACATTCTGTAATTTTGTGCTCAAATACATTCGATTATCCCCACTTGTGTTCTTGTTCACTACAGTATTTATATATTGATCCGTGGAACCTTCTAGTATGAGATTAATCATAAATGGCATGAAACAGCGACTAATTTGTAAGTAGTCAGTTATTTTATGTTATATGTACATAGAAATGTACTAAGCTTAAAAAACAAGGCATATTCATGAGATTCAACCGATGGTTATATACATCAATTGATATTCATAACTCACTAAGTCATAATAAATAGATTCGTATTAAAATCTAAGTTAACGACGATCATTTCAAGAACTATTCGTGGAAGAATTAACTTTAATATACTTCCGAATCTCTCTATTTTAAATTCAGAAATATGAAAATATATCGTTGCGTAAAAAAAGTTTTGACAGATATTTATTATAAATGATTTTGAAGAAAAAACAAATCTCTTTATATTTTTGTAACTTATCAATATCAGAAGGGGTTTCGTGGATATTACAGTAATTTTAATAGGTGGAATCATGAGTTAATTGAAGCTAGACCACCTGGACGCACTGGACGGCCGTTTTGTTCTATTGTGAGAATCTTTAGCAGTGCTCATCCACGATCCTGCCTCACGAGGTCCGAACCCAGGACCTAACAGTCTCGCGCGCGAGTGCTTAACCATTAGACTACTGAGCCGGCATTCAACGGTGTTAGTGTCTAACTTCCACTAATCCATGAAACTGATTAATAGTTTTATTCATCAGAAGTTTAAATACAAGATTATCCTATTGGTTCCATACATAAGCTCATAAAAAGATTTTCTGTGCCCCTACTGTTTCATTGCGTATTCGCTTGAAGTTTATACGCTTAAGAAAAATTGTCCTATTGATATTGAGTGCTTTCAGTGTAGATTAACAAACTTTGTAAAAGCATACAAGGGGACCTTCAGTAAATTATTTTGTGTAGGTCTAAAGTAAACAATATATGTTCAACAAATCCTTTACCCCTATGAATGAGAGAAACAGGAGGATTATTCGGTAGTATCGTGATGCACCTAAACGTAAAAACATGGGGTTGTGCTGAAAATGCACTAAGAAAAGATAGTTTTTTCAATATTTTCTGGCTCCATAGAAAACGGATACCTAAAATGTTGGTGACAGTACTGTTGAAAATCCCTACTTACGCAGAGACCCCAAAGCAAATGAAATCACAAGTCTAGAATGACAGGATTCAAAGGTTTATTTGAATAATAGATGAATGTAGCGTACTGTATGCAATCTAAGACAGGGTCATCCTACTGATTCCATATATAAGTGCATAAAATACACTGTCTTCACCGTAGCTACATGTCTCAGCTATGTACATATCACACATGAAACGCAATCATAATAATAAGCTATCATAATAGATATTGGCAGGAAAGAGTTTTTGATCTAAACATTTTATTTTTTGAACAATTAAGAATACAAAGTTTATAGTATCCAAACCCATGTTTTACATGAAATGAAACTTACCCAATTCAGCCGTACTCATTACTTACTACCTAAACAAAAATGATGATCATTTGGAAATTTCTATTCGAAAATGATTTGTTTACATCATTTTAATATAATGAAGTTAATTTCGTAACAGTTCAGTCCGAAATCTGATACTGATACACAACGTGCTACCACCCTAACCTTCTACCTCACTACTTGAATGAGAACACAAGAGTGAGAGAGAAAGTATATTGGATTATTAAATAAAATACACAAATATTCATTTTTATATATACACAACTCTACTACTTAAAAAATCAATTCATTTTTTAGCCAATTAAGTGCACTTGTCCTTCAGGTCATTTCTGATTGTCAACGATCGACTATCTCAATCGTCTACTTCTGATCGAATCACCATATCATTTTAGATGAACAGATGTTCAGCATAGAATGAACCTTACTCAAATTGAAAAGGCAGTTAATTTATCGACCACAATAAATGGAAATCGTTAACTAATATTGTGTTCACCTTAAAACATGAGTATTTACGTTTCTATCATGCATAATGTAATGTGATTTTAAGCTTAAATGAAACATCTAAACCCCAGGGATAATTCACAGAAACAAAAATATAATCCTATTCATTGACAAATTGAGTTTTGTAGGTTTAAATAACAAACTGACTTTGGTTAGATAACCAGTAAAAATTAGGGATCAAAAGACAAGTATTCCATTGTAATACAAAACTTCTCTTAGTTAAAAACAGTGACAAGTGGAGTTCAGTCAACTTGAGGATGTGATAAATATCCCCAGTGGCAATGGGTGAAAGTTGTGGAATATCATGGATTGATAGTAGGTACAAGTGTAAAGTATTTAATCCCAGTACAGTGATCTAAAAAAGATACGCTCATAGAAAGGACAGAAGATCCAGAACTTGATTCTTGGTGGGTTGGTGAATGCGCACTTCTGTGGAGTACCTTTTTAGGTAAGCTAGTTGTCCAATGTTTCCCAGTCATCAAAATTTCCCTAACTTATTCACATTGTGGTGCGGATTACAAAATTCAACAATCTTCACTACCCTCTGGACTAGAAAACAGTAATTGTTGTCAAGTAAATGAAAAAATCTTTTCTTTCTTACACCCATACCTAGTTGATTGTTGAATAACTTGACGAAGAAACTCCAGTGTGTACTGAGCATTTCCAATTTCTTGTAATATATCGCCATCTTCAACGTTTTCTTCGAGTACAGACACAGCAGGACCAATATTTTCAACCTAAAAAAATGGAAATATGTAAAAATTTTGTTCCAATACGTTAAATTTACTTGGTTTAACTATTTCAAGCACCCTAGACACATAAAATGCACTAAAACACTCCAGTATTTTACTATTATGTACATGAAGAAGAATCAAAATGCCTGTCGGATTACGTATAGTCAGTCATTCGGTATCAACATAGAACTTCGTACGTAAGTAGATCAGTCCGGGTTGCCATACCGCATTCTCACACAGATACAATTGTCGATTCGAATCCCACAGTGGTAGAGGTAGTAAGAGTATAAGCAGTAACCGGAAAGATTAGGGTTTGAAGATTTTATTCAATTGGATTACGAATAAGTGGTTATTGTATTGTCTTCTTGATGACCTACTGAATATTTAATGTTTCAGACTTGATGTATTCATTCCTTTACATATAAACTGTGAGCTTGTTTACAAATAATTCAAGATGATAATGGTGCGGATTAAAAAATTTGACTACGCAACATTTTGAATATATTGTCTTTTAATTAGTTTCAATGAAGGATTAATATTGGTAATAGTGTGTGCAAACTGCGTCTGGAGCCCTTTTAGGGTTACTGTCTGTCCTAAGCTCAGGTAGAATAGAGGGATTGTGCATAGGGTTACAAACCCTGTCCCGTAAAAAAGAACATAGGTAGGCAAACGCTAGCTAGGTTAAGCGTTCGCGCGCCATACCGAAAGCCCTGGGTTTCGAATACCGCGAACGGGATCATGGATGTGCACTGCTGAGGACTCCCACAATAAGACGAAACGGCCGTCCAGTGCTTTCAGGTTTTCAATGGTGGTCTAACATCAATCTCTTTATGATCCCAAACAAAAACTTGATAACCTCCGCAACCCCATACTGATAACTAGAAAATAGTTTGTGCTAAACTTTTAGACGGAACAATAACACCTGACTATACAATACAGCAAATACCGTTTTTGATCGATGGAACGGATAACTTATAAGTTTTATTGGTATAAAAAGTATGTGAAGATAATTCCAGATAGCATAAAGTACTTTAACATCGAATGAAATCTCATACCTGTAAGCATTGTTAAATATTATAAATCATGATATTTCAGTTGGTCATACAAAAACACAGTTAAATGGAAAAATATATTTTTATTATGAGTATATGAAATATTGTTTGATCTGAACTGTGATAAGATGGTGGTTGGAAGTAGTCAACAGGAAACCCTGGACCTAGGTTTCGTGCTATTTGGCACTCGTCAGCAAGGTATATCTGTAATCTTAAGGGGACTAATGCTCCCTGACGGATTCGACCCCGTGTCACCCAGCTCCACATTTAAAGATATTACCAGTGAACTGTCTGGGCCGCGACTCACCTCCTGTGGGGCTTTGATGTATTTACAATTGGTTGATCACTGGGATCTGACATACATGAGATTGATCATCACCCAGTGATCAATCAATCGTAAAAGATCTGAACTGTGGACAATAGACGATTCCTTACTATAACCAAATTATTAACGTAAAATCTTGAAATGAACACGTATGGAACGACAAAGTAACTACAACATGTGTACACAATAGACATGACGATGTCATAAAAGTTTTAAGGGACTCAGATTTCTTTATGCATTCTTCTTTCGTTCTGAAGTGATCAGTTAATTTACCACTGTTAACACCCAACTGACACTGTATAAATTCAATTAGGCCAACTGTCTTTTGCAAAGGTGAGGACACGTGGAGTAAATGTAGTGTCTTTCGTGTTCTGGTACTATAATGGCATCAGAGAGAGAGAGAGAGAGAGAGAGAGAGAGAGAGAGTAGAAACTATGTAACTTGCTTCACTTAATGTAAAACAGTCTCAAATCTCAGACCTTATATCATCAGGAAATGAATTACAATAGACGGAATAAAAGATAAATTTCAAAAACGCTCATATATGAAGGAAGCCTAGAAAACAACTACATTTTTCCATATTGATATATTCTCATGTAATTCTGTTCCTTATAAGTCATTAAGCTATAGATTGTTTGGGGTTATAATTCTTTTCTTTGATTTTTAATCACTATGAGCTGAATAAATTGCCCATGAAGTAATCATATAAAACCTAATAGAGTATTTACAATTGATTAGCTTCAAAATGAATTCTTGAAGCTGTAGTTAGTAATCATGATCGATCCAGTTCACTACGATGAGACGCTTCTAACCGATGGGATTGTCTAAAAGTTGAATTATTTTACGAATTGAATATGGCTAGAATTTTGAATTCATGAACTTCTACTTATTATATTAATCATGATGAAATCACCATAAAAAGGTGAGTGTCACAATTCTAATCTCATTTAAGGTAATAACCAAGGATTGTTGAAGACACCTAAATGTAGTACTTTCTTATTGTTCTTTACTCAATTTCAGTTCGTGAAAAAAAGAATCTTGAAACGGAACTTTATAATAAGACAATTGAAGAAATGAAATGAACTATGTAGCATATAGATTAAGAGTACTTAGATCTATTCTATTTCCATACTGAATAGTCCGCTGAAATTTAATCAAATCATTATTTTCACTATTTAATAACAATACTTAATATAAAACTGTTAACTCAGTTTGTCAGATGTTTTATGTTATGTTAGTGAAGTATTAATTCTGTTAGGAAAGTCGGAAAAATAGACCAATAATTATCATGTTAAGTCCAATGGTGGCCTTGGACCTTAAATGTACATTTCCTATTGGTCGATGTTTATTTCACTTGTTAAATATTGTGTAAATGTTGTTCTCTATTTTATGGTTTGATGTGGTTTGTTTGTCTGGTATATAAATAGAGTATGTCTGAACTACAATGATTCATGACTCAGAGGCTGTGACTTGTGTTCTTGACTCAACTGGCTGGGGCTAGACAGGGAAGCGGGGTCAATCAGAACCCTAGGCCGTTCTACCTGTTTGTGCATCTTTGGTCCGATCAATAATTCACTACCCCTTAATCCGCAGCATATTTCTCACACGTTACAACAAATTCACAATAGTTGTCAAGACTAAAACATACTTGAGTTTGTGAACAGCAGCTGCAATTCATCAGTTTTTACTATTGGTTCAAAATTTATCACTACTTATCACAAATGATGCTTCGTTTCATTCGATTCAATATACAAATTACTGATTCTTTGAGTAAAACTCCGACAGATATATACATATATATACACAATCATCGTTATACTTCTGCCATCTAGAAAGAATTGAAAATTAGTCGACAATTAAGTACAGAATTAAAGAGTTAGCTTGAAAAAGTCGCAACGTATTCAAACATTACATCGAATGATTTTAAATGATAAGTAAAATCAGATATGGAAAGTTAATCTAGTAGTAGACGATTGAGATAGTCAATCGTTGACAATCAGAAATGACCTGAAGGATAAGTGCACTTAATTGGCTAAAAAAGTGGATTGATTTCTTAAATAGTAGAGTTGTGTATATATAAATGAGTATTTGTGTATTTTATTTAATAATCCAATATACTTTCTCTCTCGCTCTTGTGTTCTCATTCAAGTGGTCAGGTAGGGAGTTAGTATAGTAGTATATCGTGTATCAGTATTAGATTTCGGACACCACCCATCACAACAAACTCCCCCCCCTTATAATATTTGTGTTTGTTTTGTTTTTCCAAAGCTTGATCAACAGTATGTGCTTAATTTGAGAGAGCCTGGTGAAACTATCATGAAACTTTCAAGTAGATCATTTTAATAAGTAAGTAATTTGAATCCTTGAAATCTCTTCATCCTAAATCTAATTAATGAAAGACATAATTATAAGAAATGTATCATTCAATCCATCTAAAGGGAAGACATTTAATAGTTATATATACGGTATACCTTAATGTGAACTTTCATTCATAGAATTAACTTAAAATATAATTAGGTACCATTCAAAAATCATGGCTCAAAGCTTAGTAGAAAAACATGTAGTTGGTGAATGAATTCCATATAACTTTTCCTTTTCAAATTAAAATAGCATTTTTATTTCCAAATTCATAATTTATTATGAAATAGACTTCAATTTGTACCCGTGTGGTGTGTGCTACTACTGATGTCCATAAATAGCAGTAGCATGTATCGTCAAATGAAAGTGAAATAGCTGGTGGCAGAAGGTTAAGAAGATTGAAGAGAAGAGAACGAGAATGAGAACAGAGAGTGATTGATGTGGAAACAAATGAGCAATGAAGTCTGAGACGATTGATTTAATGTAAGGTTCTCTGGTTTTATTATGATTCTGTAATTTCATGTTAAAATATATTCGATTGTCCCCATTTAGTGTTCTTGTTCACTACACCAGTAAATAGTAAAATGTTACTTCATATCTTATTACTTACAATATTCTTGAGTGAAAATGTACTTAACCTTAGATATATCAGACAACACATCATTTAACTAAGTAAAAGGAACGACAAATTATTGTAAACAACATATCTACTAAAAATGGATACACTAAGAAAATAGAAAAATTATATATGAAGTGAGATACTTGAGACTTATCACGTTATTACTTTGCTTCCTTATTCTGTGGTCTCGTTTCCTTTCACTTCCTCGCTTGAGAATGAAAACATTATTGTTGTAAGTAAATTATATTGACTTAATATTATACTACATGTTTAGTCTTTCTGTAAGGTTAACACTTTAGACTTCATATCGGGAAAATACTTTGATTTGAATGCTCGATAGCTTTTCGGTGGTGTCTGATGAAAAAAATATGAAAACTTCCTATAAATAGTTAGTGTCGTGAAATCCATTAGATTTTAGAATGTGGCTGTATTTTGGCTATACTTCAAACTGGTTACTACAATTGAGCAATTATAACAGTTTTCTACAACAAACCTAATGCGTCATAGATGTTTATGAGTCGTCTTGTAAACATTTTATTTCACACATTATTAATAGCTTTGTCTTAAGTACTCAGTTTGAAGTATTCTAGAACTCATGTCTTTTTAGGTGTAAGCCTATTTCATCATTATTAAATACCAAGTCATATCAACCTGATCATATAAACAAAATTCTGTACATACTGTCATATCCCGATGAGAATAATGAGTGGTAACTGTTGGAATCTATTTCTGGACTAACATTATACGTATATTTTTATCGTATAATTGTTAAGTAACTAAGCTATTCATATTCATGTTCCTCTTATTATGAGCTTTATTTTAACCTATGAATTAATATTATACGAGTTACCATTCTTGATTTATGCCCAGTGTATCTATTTCTATCTCCCACATTCACAGCCACATTTGGCTAAATCTTGTACAAATGTTATTTTCTACTTTACGGTGCGATGTAGTCTGTTTGGTTGGTATGTAAACCCAGTATGTTTGAAATACATGATTGATATCGCAGAGGCTGAGATTGGTGTTCTGGACATAACAGGCAGAGCTAGGCGGGAAGTCTAGAATACTCGTACGGGTTTTGTGCGTCGTTGGTTCAGTCGGTAAATCACTGTTCTTTAATTGACGGTATCATTACGTTATACATTTGTAGGGGCACGAACCCACAAGTTATAACACATCCAATACTCATTTCCAGAAATATATTATATTACTTAATCCGTGCAGTAAAACTTTATAACCTACATTCGCATTAATGAGTTAGAAAATAATAAAAAAATATGAATACCTTATACGTGTTTGATAATCTAACACGATAATGTAAGTTAATTTAATGACTGTATGATTATGTTAAACAAAAACTTGGTAACAGTATATATAGTCTAGGCACTAGTCAATCAAAATCGATAAAGTTATTTTTAGATTTTCCGCGTTTTTTTCTGGTTAGCGTTTTTTTAGTTAGTTAGTGTTCTACGGGATGGAGTCGCTAACCCCATGCCCAACCCTTCTCCCTTATCCGGGCTTGAGACTGGCAGTAGCCTAAGAGGGGCTCCAGGCGGGGCGGAAATTTGAAGAACTACGAAAGCCATCATCCAGAAGATACAAGTGTTTATTAGCAGTTGTCTATGCAAAATACTTCAGATCCGTTGACCAGACACTATCAGCCATAACCTACTGTAGGAGAGAACAAACCAGATACCAGTGGAGAAAGAAACCAGGAAGAAGCGCTGGAAGTGGATAGTACATACATTGAAGAAAGCACTCAACTGTGTCACAAGACAAGCTCTCACTTGGAATCCTCAAGGCCAAAGGAAAAGAGGAAAACCAAAGAACACATTACGTCGAGAAACGGAGACAGATATGAAAAGAATGAAAAAAAATTGGATAGAACTAGAAAAGAAGGCATAGGACAGGGTGGGTTGGAGAATGCTGGTCGGCGGCCTATGCTTCATTAGGAGTAACAGGCGTAAGTAAGTAAGATTTTTTACGAGAAATTCAAGTACCATTTTTTTAATGTAAAGAACAGATGAACCGACATTATCCATAAATTCTGTCTCTAAACCCTTATATCTGATGAGATTATATGTTTTGAACAAACTGATTGGACAATGGCTCTTGGATTTTTTTTTCTGCCAAGTTGATCTATATAGTTATACATAGTTTTCAAATTATAACTGATATCAGTTTGTGATAGAAATGTCACCTATTAACACTTCTTATGCTGAAATACTATCTCTGATCACGAGTTATATAACAATTCTGGAAAATCTCTTTCGGTCCTTTTTTAAGATTTGAGAATACAAATAATCTTTGTCATTCAATGTGATTGTATATTTTATTATGCTTGTACTATACAGGCAGATTAACCTACGGAAAACTTTATTAGATTGATTTAATATGTAAAACTTGTTTTACACTTAGTTACATTATTGATTTCATTTATTTAAAGATGTTTAGTAGCTGACTAATAACCAAATCTAATCCCTATAATATTCACTTATCAAATACTTTTGAATCTTTAAAAAATGAAATAATTAATTCATTTTTGTATTTCACTAGTTGAAATCATGAGTCAATTGAAGCTAAACCACCATGGAAAACCTGGAAGCATTGGACGGCTGTTTCGTCCTAGTATGGAACTCCACAGCAGTTCGCAAGCGCGATCACGCCCCCCATGGGATTCGAGCCCAGCTCCTATCAGTCTCGCGTCAGGCGCTTAACCAACTAAACCACTCATAGAATAATAATTAGTTCTCAGTATAGGGTTGTGGAGATTGTTAAGTTTTTGATTAAGATCATGAACAGACTGATATTAGACCACTATTGAAAACCCAGAAGCACTGGAAGGCCATTTCGTCTTATTGTGGGAGTCCTCAGCAGTGCACATACATGATTCCGCTCTCGGAATAATTAGTTCCATTGAATTTGTAATGAGCTATATGTGGCAAATTTGGTTCCAATCCGTGCTCTTGTAATAGAAATTTCATTAGTGGAAAAGCTTACTAACAATTTAATTAATGAATGAATATTTCGTGGATTGGTTAAAGTTAGACATTAACACCTTTGGATACCGGCTTAGTTATCTAGTGGTTAAACACTTGTGCGCGGGACTGATAGGTCCTGAGTTTGAATCTCGCGAGATAGATGCGCACTGCTGAGGAATGCAACAATAGGATAAAACGGCCATTCAGTGTTTCCAGGTTTTCCATGATGGTCTAGCTTCAACTGACTCATGATCTAAACCATTGAAATAAATATTTCTTGAGATTATTTTAGGAGGTCACTGAAAGTAATCTTGATAAATAGTTTGATAAACAAAGTATGAGATCAAAAAGAAAACAGAATTTAATTAAAGTTACGGCGAGACTGTAATTTATAGACAAACCAATCAGGAATAAGATAACAGGTCGTGAAATTCACTCGTCCATTTGGTTAAGTAGAGTCTTAGCATTATAGCTAATGTCATTTCGTAATTAAAACCCTGAATCTAATTTCTAACCTTAACCATCAACTTTAAATCATAATTCGAATTCTTCACACAGGATTATAACCTTCATTTGGTCCTAGATATTAGGTGGACACTCTTTAGGTCATTCTGGCGTCGCTCAATGGTCGTCCATAAATTATAGTCTCACCAAAGTTACTTATTATTGAAGGTAGAAGTAGTAGTAATTTAAATTAAGAAAATTATAACCATACTAATCGGTTGACTGGTGACTTACAAATTATACTATTTAATTTTTAATTAGTAAGTTGAAAGTTGAAACCTTAATCTACTACCTTTGATTTATGCACCTAGATACTAGTATTATTATTATTACTCATACCAAAGTAAACTTAGCTGGAAGCCT